CTTAAGGTGCCAAGCTTTGTGACATGTCAGCGATCCATGTTTTTAATATTGCTCACAAGTGCCAGGACTGAATGTCTGATGGAGTATGTGTGCATGTGTTGTGTGCCATCAAGTTGGTTCCAATTGGTGGAAACCCTAAAATGAACTTATCATGGAGCTTTCTTGGCAAGGTTTGTTCAGAGGAGTTTTGCCATTGCCTTCCCCTGAGGCTGAGAGCATGTGACTTCTCCAAGGTCACCCAGTGGGTTACATGGCCAAGCGGGAATTGAACCCTGGTCTCCAGAGTCATAGTTCAACACTCAAAGCACTACGCCATGCTGGCTCTGATGGTGTATATTGGTATATTTCCATGTTAACTGTATACCCTCCGACTGTCCCAGTTTGGCAGCAATAGTCCCAATTAACCTTCTGTTATCGCACTGTCCAGCTGCTTTTAAAATGTCCCATTTACTCTCTCTTCCTCCCACTTTCCTCTTTTATCGCTAGCTTACCTCAGTTGCTGCAAACTGAGTTCAAAAGGCAAAAGTAGTTTTCTCTTAGTAACTGGTTGACTGACCAAACCCAAAGGGTGCTCAGCAATGGCTCCTCTTCATCCTGGAGAGAAGTAACCAGTGGGGTGCCAGAGGATTCTGTCTTGGGCCCAGTGCTATTCAACATCTTTATTAATGACTTGGATTAAAGAATAGGGGGCATGCTTCTCAAATTTGCAGATGACACCAAATTAGGAGGAATAGCTAATACCCTAAAGGACAAGATAAAAGTTCAAAATGACCTTAACAGATTAGAAAGCTGGGCCAAAGCTAGCACAATTTATTTCAACATGGAGAAATGTAAAATACTGCACGTAGGGCAAAAAAAAAAAAAAAAAATGAAATGCATAGATGCATAGATGGGGGACACCTGGCTTAACTAGACTACATGTGAAAGGAATCTAGGAGTCCTAGTAGACCACAAGTTGAATATCAGTCAACAGTGTGATGACGCAGCTAAAAAGGCCAATGTAATTTTAGGCTGCATCAGTAGAAGTATA